ATTAAATCTATCTAGCATTTAGTAGATTGTTTAATAGCTAAGCGCTAAATAGTTCAATAGCTAAGGAATTAATTGGTTATCATATATTCAAATAACGACTGGTAAAGAAAGATTAGAGTCAACATACATGTTGTTGTCTTACGATGAATATTCATGTTAGGATGAGTTAACTATTTAATCAATAATCAGCAACCAAACCAAAAATGGATACTGAAGTTCAATCAAGGCTACTCTCATACTCGTTATCTCTTACTACTTTATATTATTTTCAAGCATCTCAAACACATAAAACTTCCCTTTACACACAAGAACGCCCAAAGCAATTGACTTATTCTCTTTCCCTATGGGTTCGACCCTTAATTGCCCCGATTACATAACCCTAATTAAAAGCTCTGTAAGGACATTATAAATTACTAATTTGTTGACGGTACGACACGCCATCAAAATACGTAATTGTTTTCCAATTTAAAAGCACATAAGGATTCTAAATGCTTCTCATTCTTGATATTGCTTGACTTTTTAATTACATTTGTCATATTGTTCCCTCATTAAGAGTCTTTTACTTTTATGCTAGAAATAAGAATTAAAGATAAAGTGATTTTTCGAAACCTTTGTTGTTAAATTTGTTTATATATTAGTTACCATTTTATCTATGACATTATTTAGAGAAAACTTATAATCCATTTTACCTTATATTATTGATACTTATTACTTTAAAAACAAAATTGTTCAAGTGGATCTGAAGTTACCTCCAAAACCAATCATCTTTTTTGCTACAAACGACCTTATTAGTTAGGTAAAAATTCAATTCTTGCTTTTTTTTTTTTAATCCACAATGGCTATTGCATCTTCTTTATTAGAACGAAATTGTCATTTCAATTAAGGGTTTGGACCAGTGCATAAAAGGGTTCATTGATGACAAGCTTAAAACTAGCTTGAAGGCTCAACCTGTGGCCGTTAAGCTTTTGAACTTGGATGGCCTACAAAGCCATAAGGAGTGGTTGATGAGAACTTTGAATTATCATTTCTACCATATTGTATAAACTACACACACACATATATAAATATATTATCAAATATATTGTTTTTCATATTTCTTTATTTACTTGCTACTTTTTATTTTACATTTAAGGAGCTTTTACCAAAAATCAGTAATTTAAGTTTTCTAGTCTCTTTAAAGTATTAGGTAGTGACTCCTTATTTTTTTAACTCTTTTTAATTAAGAGGTTCCATATGTAAGGTAATGACAACATGACGACTCTACTAGGAACGCTAGAGTTAAGCCATAGACTTGTTTTGTTCTAAAATCATATTCTTTAAATATTTTAGCCATTTTATTTTCAAATGATGTATTTTTGAATAATTTTTTTACTTTCAAGTTATTTAGTTTTCAATCATTTTATTTATTACTTATAAATTGGATTGGGTATGTATGTATACATTTAAAGCTTCACACACTAGCCGGAAAGCCAACTAAAAGCTATGGATTTAAGTTATGTCCCTTTAAGGTTAGATAGCAAAATTTAAAGGCAAGTGTGTCAAAAGCCTAGTGATTCTCGTCTAGACTTCTGCTTAGATTAGAACTCACTTATGTATAAGAGATTGTGGAATATTTTTCCATACCTCTTATTGCGTAAGGTACGAGACTAGAATGCTCCACTAGTAATTCAGATAATCTAAGAACTAAAGAACATAAATTTCTTTAAAAAATTATATTAAGGTCACTTTTCTGGTTTGAATTTACTGAAATTGTTCAAATACCGATTGACTATATGAAAAATAGCTCTTCCAAAGTAATAACTTTATCTTATTCGATCGAATAATAATTATTCTTGTATTCTTTTATGATGCAATGGAAAGTGTAGAGCATGATGTAAAAGTTGATATATGGAGCCTGGGTGTTTTGTGCTATGAATTTCTATATTTTGTCCCTCTATTTGAGGCCAAGGAACACTCAAACGCATACAGAAAGCAAGCATGAATCTGAAAAAAATGAAAAAAACTACAAATTTGCCTTCATTCAAAATATGTAAACTTTTTCTAATTTGAAGGCACTAAAGGATCCTAAAAGTTTCTCATTCTTGACATTGCTTAACTTGTTAATTATGTTTATCATATTGTTCCCTCATTAAGAGTCTCTTGCTTCTATGCTATAGATAAAAATCAAGGATATAGTGATTTGTTGAAACCTTTAATTTGTTTCTATATTACTTACCTTTTTTGTGGCATTATTTAGAGCAAACTTATAATTTATTTTGTCCTGTGTTGCTAATACTTGTTATTTTATCAACATAATTATGCAAGTGGATCTGAAGTTCCCTCCAAAACCAATCGTTTCTTCTACGGTTAATGACCTTATTAGTCACGTGAAAAATCAATTCTTGCTTCTTCTTTTTTTTTTTTTTTTTTTTTTTTTACCAACAATGGTTGTTGCATCTTTCATATTATAACTTAATTGGCATTTCAATTAAGGATTTGGAATTGAGGATTTAGACCCATGAATAAAGGATTCATTGATGACAAGCTTAAACTTGGCTTGAAGGCTCAGCCTGTGGCCGTTAACCTTTTGGACTTGGATGGCATAGGGAGTGGTTGGTGAGAACTTTGAATTATCGTTTCTATCATATATTACACACACACACCTCATATATTATCAAATATATTGTTTTTCATATTTCTTTATTTGCTTGCTACTTTTAATTTATCATTGAAGGAACTTCTACTAAAAAAGACCAAGAATTTAGGTGGCAACTCCTAAGTCTTTTTAATTGGGAGGTCCTATATGTTTGGTAAGGCTCAGATTGAAACTCCCTTGTGTACAAGACATTGAGAATATTTTTTCATGCCTCTCGCTGCATAAGGTTCGAGATTTGGTTACTCCACCGGTAATTTAGACAATTTGAGGATTTGAAAAAAATATAGGATTAAACAAAACTAAGACAAACTCTATAGAAAGTTAGATCTTGTTTATTAGGCTTGAACCCATATAAGATACAAACTATATATGTCAAGCTGCATGTATTAACTCTCTTTTTTTTTTTCATTAATCCTCACATGATATGTGAATCATGATGAAAAATACTTTTATTATCTTGGATATTGCCTGTAAAGTTTGTTATTTGTATGTAAAATTGCCTATAAAGTTTGCTATTTGTATGTAAAAGTACATGATTGGTTTTATTATTTTGGAAGAATTAATTAAATACAAAATTGTGATTAAAAATTTTATAAATTTTGATGATTTGTTTTTTTAACTTTGATTAAGAATATTTTAATAGACCCATAATATTGTGCATGCTATCAACTAAGATAATTTCTTAAAATTATTCTACATATTTTATCCAAACCACATAACACGGTCACCAACTCACTACTCACTCGCTGGTCCATGACCTCAAACTCCTACCTCAGCTTTTGCTAACCCCAGGGTTGAGAGAGAGAGTCTTGGAAAGTTTTTTCACGCAATTAGATTTAGCTGGCCCGATTGGTAAGACTTCTTTGACCTTTTAGCTCATATTTAACTCTTGTTGAAGTTGCAAGGCAGGTTGAAACGATCCTGTTCGATTTTTTGGGCCTTGATATAATGAGCTTCATAAAATGCAAACTCGACTTCCGTAATTTTGATTCTATTTATTTAGAGACACGAATTTATTTTCTTTCCCACTTTTCTTATGCAGATACAATCAACAAGTTTGGGACTAAATTAACATTGGGATAATATATTAGAGACTAAATTGAATTACAGATTATGCAACTTAGATGTTTCGATGTCCATGTTTCCTCTTCAAATGGCTTAGGATTGTACATCACCTTCAGCAGTGACTGTCCACGGTCGATATGCTATATTAGTCCAATTCAAAGCTTCATGGCTTTTTTAAGTTTTATTAATCTTTTGGGAACCATCTTTTTTAAATTCTCGAAATCGAAAAGTGATACAAAAGGTTAAATAATAAAACAATGGCGGTGTCCATACTATAAAGTTGTGTGTGATGTATGTATGCCAACCGTTGTATTTTATTGCTTCTAATGATGCGACATGACCATTTTTAATTGCTAGTTATTTTTGAGATGTAGGTTTCAATAACTTCGTTAAGGGTGAGAATTACAATTATAAAACATGGCAACACAACCACAAAAAAATTAAAACAACTCATGTCCGACCATTTTGTGTTGGGACAGAGAGTTGATCTTGCAATCAACAAATATCTGCCACAGGACTGCTCTATTTTGCTTCAGAGACAATAATTACTAAGCTCATTAAGAACTAAGAAGGCACTTAATCTATACATTTTCCAGTGATGGTTTCGAGCCCTAACTCAATTTATGAATTCCGACCGGACACAACCATAGTATGCCCCAAATCTTTCTACTTCAGAAGGCCACCAACTCTAACTCTGTTATCCTTGTTATATGTAGTCCGTAGTCACAAACAAACAGCTGAAAACTTGGAAGAATTTTATTCCTTGCATCAACCATAGAAAAAGAAAGATTTGTGAACAAGGGATATGATTAAACCCAAAAAACTGAAGGGGCATATGCAATAGCATGCCACTAACCACTTGCTTTGCAGGGAACTTGAAAGTACAGGATAATGACAGACTAACCGCAGGGCATTCTATTATCAAAGAAAAAAGCGATTGAATAAGGCATAACTTTTCTATGAGACAAAGGTGACATGATACAAAGCAGATCATAGCAAGGATCCCCACTAGGAGACACCTGGAACAGAACATATTGACCATGATCTACCATTCTTACAATAATTTAAATCGATTCATATCTCCAGGTCATTGCCTTGGAATCTCTAGTCCTGCACACATCAAATGCAACATGCATTAACTAATCAATTCTTTAACCATCATTCAAAACAATGGCCATGCACACACAGAACAGAATGCGCATTTAAAGTTTCATTCACATACCAGCAGACAAGAAGTAATGCATTTTAACACGGCCTTTTCAAGATTAGGAAAAAATGTAATTATTCGCTACCTGTAGTGTCAACGTCTTGGTCTAGGCTTGCAACGAAATTCAGCAAGAAGTGCTATATGATCAGAAGACCACTCTGGAGAAGGAAGGGCTGTGTCTTTCCTCAAGCTTTCCTCGTCCAAGAGTTCCAACAAGGACTCCACAGTTAAAGAGTCCGCTGGAAACAAATAACACAGAAAGATCAAACTTCAAATAGCATGATCAAATTGGGATAAAAGACAGCAACAAGGAAAAAGGCAGAGAGAATAACGTGTAGCAAAGAAGTTAACCTGTGTAAAATATATAATCTAGGGTGCCAATAAAGTCTCTAGTGCAGTTCGTAAATAAAGGTTCATTTGTTGTGGAGTCCATTCTCCTCCTCTGATGATCAGAACTAAGACCAACGCCCACTCTTGCAAAAGATGAGTATGCACTGACCTGCAATACTAATTGTTGTATCACTACCAGCACGGCCCACAAGAAGCGGAACATAAATTACGAACACTGCCTAAAACCACCCACCCAGAAGCAAGAGACAAGCTTTGCTCTTTGCCTTCTTTTTTCATATATAAAAGGTTAGCCAAAAGTTACCAGCATTTTGGTTTCCCCAAAAACCTCCAGAAAGAAAAACAGTGCAAGCTATAAACTGAGAATGATCATTTATCAGAGGACACATTACCAGTGGCAGCTGATGTGTAAGCTTGCTGTGAGGCCGTAAGATTCCAAGAGGGTCTACTACTAAATCCGGATGCATCGGATCCACCTTACCCATGGCAAGAAGAGAATGGGGTGCACTGCAACCAAGTTCAACAGTAACCTTAGTTATAGAATGCACCAAACATGCACGTTATAAATGCATCTTCCATAAGTGCTAAAATTGTTTCACAAAAGCAGACCAACCTTCCAGGAACGGAATTGAAATCTCCACATACCAACATAGGAATGTCAGCACTAGCAGCTATTTTCTCCAATCCTTTCAAGAGAGTAAGGACCTAAGTTTACAAACCAGAAATCACAAATCATCATCAAGTTCACAAACACAAATCAAAAGAGATTAACACAAAAAATGGAGAAATAAAATATGAACCTGCCAAAGCTTAACATCCTTTAAATCCTGGTGGACGTTTATATGTGTATTTGCCTGTATTGTAAGAGAAAAGGAATACAAAAGCAATTACAAACAGAACAATATCCATCCATAAAAAATGGCAGCAGTGATCGTATGTCTTGCATTAAGTTAAAGGAAAATAAAAAAGTGAAAAAATCAAGCACATAGACATTTAATAAGAGATAAAAGCATCATATCTGCACAATCCGCATCATCAATTAGAGACCTCGTTAGCAAATTGTACCAGACACCTACCATTTAGCATGAAGGGAAAACTATGGATATTTTTTTTTTTTTTTTTTTTTAAAGAGAGAAGCAAGGCACAACTGCTGAAACAAGTTCTATACAAGGACCAAAACAGCATTACCATTTGGCACAATACTAGGCACAAGATCACTTACAACGCAAAGTAGCTGCCGCTTTCCAGGATTATCTGCTCCTTGATTACTAAATTTTGCTTCCAGAACAACTATTAACGCAACATTATCCTATGAGTAGAAAAGAATTTACATGAGGTAACTAGGGCAACATAAAATGGAAAAAGTTCCTGATGCACCTGCAAAACTTAAACAAAATCAACTGCAATAAACTAACCTTAACTAATCGATTCAGAGCAGTTTTTCTTTGAGCACTTGGAACCAATGCATCAGTCAAAGACTGAGCAGCCTTGTTAAATTCAACCTGCAAACAAGTGACACTTTAATGTGCGAAAATAAAAAAACTACACAAAAACATGCCCCCAAATCCAAAGCACTTCCGAACCTCGTATTTTTTAACATGTGAAAATCTATCCCTGCGGAAAAATGTTGCACAGCCATCAATCGTATGGGTATTTCCATTGTAAACCTGCAATTAATAACAATACTAAGTATGAATATTGTGCTTGATGCATAAATTGTTAGGACAAAAAAGGAGTATTAGTTTAACAAATAACAACCTCATTGGTTTTTCTCTTATATAGGGCTTGATAACCATGCTTGTCCAGCTCAGGGGCAAAAAATTCTTCATAATGATCACTTTGTACCTGAAAGCAGGGGAAAAAACATTGTATAAGTCACCCTGAATAGGCAGAAGATAATCTCCCTTGTCCAATGAAGATAAACCATCAACAAAAAATTAGTTATTCTGAAGGAGCTACCAAAAATCTCGTCATGTCCATAGTAGATTATAGTGAGCTCAATAATAAATAGTTTTGTACAAGGTCTTTCAAGAAACCTAATCATCATTTTCATCTAGAAAATTGCTAGAATAAGTAATCCAGTAACAGTCCTGCTATTTTACATAGCCAAACCTAAAGAAACAAAAGCAATAGCATGGCAGCCAAAGAGAAAAGAATGAAAAAAACTCCAATCATCTCTCCTCATACTTCAAGTCTATCAATTTCACTTGCAATCTCTGATGAGATTAAAAACTTTAAGGAAAAAAATCAACTTAAAAACTTCACCTCATATCCAGATTGATAAATAAATCGATATTCATTTCTTGTCTTACCTCCTGAAGACAAACAATGTCTGCACGATAGCCAACTATTTCCCTCAGTAAGTTCTGTCGACGATATGGCCAAGAAAGAGCCCATGAAGGACAATAACTGTATGTGTCATTTGTAGCATACAAGTCAGACAAAATGTTGTATGAAAGCACAGTAAAAGTTCCTGTTGATGAGATACGACCATCTGGATCTAAAGGCGTCATTGCATCAGGTCCACTAACTGGGATCAAACGACGAGGAGTTGGCGAGGGAGCCGGAATGACACGGGAAGTTAGCAGTGTGTTTGGATGTCCTACAGGTAGTTTAGTTTCTGCATCTACCACAACACATTCAAACTTGAGGACATGGCCAATATCATCAGCTGATGGTGTATATGTTTTAGAACGCCCAACTTCAAACCAAGTTTCACCACCGCTCCTTTGTGTTACTGCTGCAGGATACAAAGGTGTGGAACCATTTGTCAAGCTAGCACTAGATGCAGAACCAGATAAACTAGCATTAATAACTCCAGATCCTGAGCTATTGAAACGCCCAAACAACTCTTCCTCCTCATTTCCATTTTCATTTACAGCACTTGCAGCACGGTCATGTAGAACACGATGATGCTGCCATGCATCAGAGAAGCACTTGGGGGAGCAATGGTAACTTTTGGCAACAGGTAATTTGGCCTTAACACAGCCTAGACACTGCAGTGTGGCATGCTCAGATGGATGTACACTACATATAGCAACCTTTCTATCACTCTGTATCCGATACCTGCAAACAAGCCCAAAAACAGGGTGATGCATATCAAAACTAAAATAAGATAAATTCTATGTTTCAAATCATCCTGTAACTAAGGTACAGGTGCAATGGCGCCAATCAGAGATGCAACTTATACTCAACTGAATCACAAGAGCATGCAACAGCACTTCCATAAAAAATCTAAGCTTTAAAAAATTTGTGACATGCTAAATTAAAGTGCTGATGCTCGATCAGTTCTTTTATACCTAAATTTTTTATGATACTACTCAAGTCATATATCAAGTCGAATAAGATTTGGTTCAACACATTCATAAATTTTCCATAACTGCCAACTATATTACATTTTAATTATGAGATTCTTATGAATATTCAAAACTGCAGATCATCTTCAAGTTTCCTTATTTCTCCTTTAACTATATTGACCATGGGGTGATCTCTCTCTGTCTTCTGCACCGAGCACAATTAGCAGAACCATTAAAACTGGACGTTTCCATCACCACTGATATTAAAAAGAAAAGAGTATAGATCTTCAGGGCAAGTTTAGTCATTAATTTCCAAACAGCTAGCAGTAAAATAACACACCCAGGTCCACAATCTGAAAGGACCAGACAAATGCTCCCATCTAGCTAAGCATGTTTCGCATGACAACTTAAAATAATCATAAATGCATCACCAGAAGGCAAAAATGTAAATAAAGCTAACTATACAGGTCACAGCTTTTTTACAAACAAACACCTCCTAGAGGAAACAAAAAAAGATGACAAAACTAGTCAGATTCCAGACCTAAGAATCCTAGCCCCCAACTCACCATGGTTTAGGAAAAGTAAAAAAATACACATCTTAAGTTGGTGACAAATATCTTGATGCTTTTCCACTGACCAGATGAATCTAGTATTGATCTTATGTATGTTCACAAATACTTGTGAGAACTAATAGCACGCAATGATGGGAAATACCAATGATACCAAGGTTTATTCCAAATCATATGCAAGCTGCCAAAGAAAATGGCAAAAGACAAGTTGAGCAAACCTGTGCATTATCACCCACTCTATCATTGCGTACAGCACATTCGTGCTTCATTGCATACAGCACATTACTGTCAAACAGCAGCCACAACGGCCAGTAGAACTGAGCACTGTCAGTGCCCAGAAAAGAACAGGGCACAGGCATGGGTCATCACCAGATACAAAGGCATGGGAACGGGGACCCATGCTGTGTCCATGCCAATGGTCAAGGCCAAGTCATAAGACACGTGAATTAAGGAAGATAAAACCAGTGACCCTAACACCTCCAGGATATTAACGTGCATAATTGACGTAGCTGAAAATAAAAGAAATACTATATCACTTCAAACTTTATTGCTGAGCTACTTGCCCCATAATGGATGAGGCACTTTAAATTGTAAATCCAATGAGAACATTAAGTGAGTCATATTAAATTCTGACTTGTTAAGCGCTACAGGAGAAAGTTTACACATCAGAAAGCATAATCCCAAAAAGATCACCATAGCAGTAGTCACTTATAGTAACATTTTTTACACATCAGAAAGCATAATCCCTAATAGATCACCATAGTACTAGTCAATTATAGTAATAGTTTTTGTTACCAAATGCAATTAACCGAATTGATATATAGCAAACATTAATATTGCTTTTTAAGGCATTAAATCTGGAAGCATTGCACCTCTATCCATTTTGAGGCATTAAGTCTGGAAGTATTGCAGCGCTCTCCATTTTGAGCTATTAATCTCAAATGGAAAAACTCACTTGCACCAGAGCACTTGTATAATAAAAATATATTTGTTCCTATTAAAAATCAATATGTTCTGCGCATCAACTAATCCGATAAAAACTGGCCACATTAATAAATTGATATGACACATTGAATCTATTCAATCAACCACCCTGCAGAAAATTGAAAAAAGTGCATGACCGGAGGACAAGCATGATTCAGAAGCCAAGAGACATGGTCTAACTACCAGCTATGTCTATTAACTTCTTCTCTTAGGTTTACTTACTGTTGGTCGAATATGCAATGATAAACAAAAAAATTAATCAACTGCAACCCTAAACTGCCTCATATTTCCAAAAACACAAAAAACAAAATGCCCAACATTTGAGATGTATGATATGACCTCGTGAAACTATGAAGGCAGGTCAAGTGTTGCAGATCACAGACAACATAGTTTTAGTGTGGAAACACATATCACATATTTGAAGATAATTGCTTGTCAATCACCAAGTTACATTGAGAACTACATAATGTAAAAGCTTTTGTTTTCATCACTAATCAGCAATTCAATACCTACCTTTCTAAAGCAACCCTTCACTGTTCACCACGTGGTGGTACAACGTACCTAGCAATCGGGAAAAAGAAAAAGGTGAAATACAACTAGGCAGCCTGGATTTTCAGTTTACCCTCACACACGTTACGAGCTTTTTGTCGTATAATAACATAAGTCACCACAGTACAACAAACCGAATCATCCTCTACAAAAACATACCGTGCTCGTGAAGTCTACTTCGCCAAGTAAATTGACTTATCCCTAATGTATTAATAACTATTTTAAACCTTCTAACATGTTATCCACGACTCTTTAAAATGAAAGCGACAAATATTGGAATGACAAAAATTAAAGAAGGCACTAACCACCAAAAATAAAAATTGCAGATACAATCCAAAAAAAATCAAATAATCATGCAAAGGTGAACCGAAAACACTTCTGCTTGCGTATTCAAAATGTCCCCAAACCAGAACACACTCACTAATGAAAATCACTTCACATAGGTACCACCACGACCAAAAGCCAACAAATAAAAAACCTATTATAGAAAACCAATTATTTACACCAACAAGCCTTGTCTCTACCACTATACACTAATACAAAGTTCATAACATCAGCAAAACCCCAAGTAACAAACAATTCCTAACAATTTAAAACACACACAATGACATTAAAAAAAGTCCCAAATTGCACAAAAATAATCAACCGAGAATCCAAAAATTCCAAAAAGCAAAAACATAAAAAATTCACTTACCACTTGTATCTCAAGAAATGACCGTCAAGAGGGGCAGACTCAGGCACGTCATCGGTAGTAACAGTCTTATCCGGTCGCCGTAAAAGAACATACGGCGTTAACTCACAGCCAACAATAGGAATATCCGATGGAAGATGCACACGTATCACGCTCAGCATGCTTTTATTTTCTTCTTCAAAGTTTTTGTTACACTTCACTTTCCTAACCACACTGTAACCCTATGAATAATAAAATCAATCGGCGGATATTGCCTGGCGGATCCGCCATTTACTTGACCCTATTACCCGCCAGCCTTAATCAATCAATCGATCAAAAACCCTAGATTTCTCAATTTAAAAAATAAACAACAGATCTCGAGAAATTAACAGTGAAATTCAAGTTAGGATTTTGAGAGTGATTCGAGTAATGGATCGACTAGGTAAATGATCGCGAAGATTCTAGAGAGAGAGGGAGAGAGTTTGAAATTTTTTCTAGAGAGAGAAAAGGGGGAGATTTCGATAATTAGGGTTTTACAGAGAAAAGGGGAAGAGTGAATATTAATTTATATAATAATAATAATAATAATAATAACAATAAGGAAATGAAAATGAAAACACGACGCTCGTGGGTGTGTGCGTAGTGGTGATGGTGGACCGGTGGTGGTCTGCTATGTCTAAATTGGCTATTAAGTGGCCCTTCGAAAACGGGAGGTGTTATTTGTGGAGAGAGAATAGAGTAGTAATAGTTAGTGATATATACGAGTTTTACGTTTATACTTCCGGGGGAAAAATGTGTGCGCGGATCAGTAGGTATTTTCTGATGTGTTATGTCCAAAAATACAATAGTTTTACTATAACCGTTATAACTTTATCATAACCGATTCGAGTTATCGATCTGAATTTGATTTGTTGATCGAGTTATAATTTATGATAGAAAAAAATTAAATATATATTAAATTATAAGAATATGATTAGTCTAATCAATTGAGTTAATGAGCTGTTTAACTTGATGATTGAATTAATAAACATGTCATCTTTTTAATTTTATTTTTATATTTTGTTAGCTTATTCGAGCTAAATTATACAAAAACATAAAAAAAAACATAATATATCGACCCAATCATCAATGAATCGATGAATCAAAATCATAGTCGGTATAACCTTCAAATTGTTCTCGAGAATATGGTAAATTATAAATTATTACTTTCAATTATGAGAAACAAATTAATTAGTCTCTCATGTTTCAACTGATTATTTAGTCATTGACTCATTTTATAATTTTTAAAAAAAATATTATGAAAAGATTGATAAAAAAAAGATATTTTAAGGTAAAATGATATAAAATTAAACGTGATCAATACTGATTAAAAAACTAAATAATTAGCTTTTAAAATAAATAAAATTTATTTATTTATTTTTCAAAATTAGAAAAATTATTTTATAATTACTTAGATAACATGGTACCTTAGTATAATTTTTGTGCTCTTTTGGATGTAATGGCAGTGAAGAAAAAATAACGAAGAAGATCTTTTTTTCATGAAATTTAAAATCTTTTTTTTTCAAAAATATTTTCTATGGAGCTTTTGATGTGTGTACTAACATCAATGGCACTTACAATCCAATCTCGAACTGATCATCTAACATCTACATGCCGTGGTTTACATGATAGTTTAATTTTAATAATTAGTTTATATTCTGTTTGTATACCTTGGCATTTATACGAGTTATGTTTGATGATTCGCATCAAATATTGATTTTTAGTTGAGTGTTTATGAACTTAATAGCTCTAGTCAAACATGTTGGAGATTTTTTTAAAATTATTAGATGAAACAGATTTATCACTTGAGATTATAAACCAACAAATAATTCATGGTTTTAAATGGTAAACCCAATTCATTAAATAAATTCTCAAACTCTTTTTTTTTCAGATTTTTGATAAACCATCCAAAATCATATGAGTTATACTTGTAAAAAAAATTGTTTCTATTACAATATTATACCAACAATTATTTAATGATATCTAATTATAAATGGTAAAAAAAAATAGGTGGTAGATCTCAAGTTCAGAAGGGATTTTAAAGCATCATTACTTGTTTTTAGATATTGAGTGAAACACCAAAAAATTTAGAGTTTCTACTGTTTATTTACTGTAGCAATGAATCTCAAGTCCATTGTTTTTTTTTTTTCCTCTTATATGTGGCCAGGCCAATCCATCCAGGCCTGGTTTTGGTTTTGTTTTTCTTTTGTATTTTTTAGCAATTTTTTGTTGTTGATTTTGTGCAAAATTTATGAAAAAATAATTTTTTTTCACATAGTCCGACGATGAAAAAAACATGATTTCTTCAATTTGTAATTTTTATTTTTTTCTTTTAGAATTTAAGATGATTTCTTCGATTTGTCAGTTTTAAGTAAACATCTAATTAATTTTTTAATTTATGTTTTATATAATTTTATTTGTTAAGAAAATATGATTTGTTTTTCTTTATGTATGAATTTTTGAATAAAATTTTAGAACGTGATTTTTTTAAATACATTAATATAATTTATTTGTTGGATGTTTTGAATTTGGTATTCAACACACACACACACATATCTATGTATTCATTTATACGAGTTATGTTTGATGATTGGCATCAAATATTGATTTTTAGTCAAGTGTTTGTGAACTTAATAACTCTAGTAAAACATGTTTAAGATTTTTAAAAAATTATTAGATGAAACGGATTTATCACTTGAGATTATAAACCAACAAATGGTTCATGATTTTAAATGGTAAACCCGATTCATTAAATAAATTCTCAAACTCTTTTTGTTTAGATTTTTTATAAACCATCCAAAATCATATGGGTTATACTCATAAAAAAAATTGTTTATATTACAATATATACCAACAAATGTTTAATGATATCTAATTATAAATGGTTAAAAAAAAAAAAGTGGTAAATTTCAAGTTCAAAAGGGATTTTAAAGCATCATTTGACTTACTTTTTGATTTTAAGCAAAACACTAAAAAATTTAAAACTTTACTGTTCATTCATTGTAGCCGTAGACGACGCATCGTCCATTGGTTTTTTTTTTCTTTTTTCTTTTATATGTGGCCAGGCCAGGGCAATCGAGCCTGCTTCTGCAAGCCCAGAGGTGTAAGCTTGCATCTTCAGGTCCATAAGCACATGGCTGGCTTTGAGTTTTTTTTTCTTTTGCATTGTTTCAACAAATTTTTTTGCAACAAATTTTTTTATTATTATTGATTATGGGCAAAAAAATTTTCATATAGTTTGATGATGAAAAAAATATGATTTTTTTATTTATAATTTGTATTTTTTTAAAATTATTTTTATTTTTTTCTTTTGGATATTTTAAAATTAGTTTTTTTTTAATAAGATAATTTTTTAAAAAGACGATATAATTATTCAAATATAATTTTTAATGATATATTATTGATTATTTAATTATTGAATATACACACAAATAGAGACTTTCTTTTAAAAAATAATTCTTTCATTGGTATTAAATAATAATTTTTTCATTTGTTAATTTTTTCATAAGTTTGTATATGAATTGTAGCTTTATATATATATAACCTTATAAAACAAATATTTAGGTTCTTTTACAAAATCTGGATTCAATTTTCTATTTAGATTGTTGCAAGTTTTTTTATTTAACAATCAATGCATAAAAAATAATTAATCATTTTTTTCAATTGAAAATTTATGAAAAATATAAAGAATAATTTATTAATTAATTATATGATTTTGATTAAAAATTTATTAGATTTTATTTTTTATGTACTTTTAATTCGATATATTTTAGAAGATTTACAACATAAAGTGGCTTTTAAACTAGTTATGTTTGATGATTGGAATCAAATATTGATTTTTAGTCAGGTGTTTGTGAACTTAATAACTCTAGTAAAACATGTTCATGATTTTTTTAAAAATTATTATATGAAACAAATTTATCACTTGAGATTTTAAACCAACAAATAGTTCATGGTTTTAAATGGTAAACCTATTTCATTAAATAAATTCTCAAACTCTTTTTGTTGATAAACCATCCAAAATCACATTAGTCATACTCATAAAAAAAAAAATTATATTACAATATTATTCCAACAAATGTTTAATGTGATATCTAATTATAAATGGTGAAAAATAGATGGTGGATCTCAAGTTCAAAAGGGATTTTAAAACATCATTTGACTTATTTTTCAATATTAAGTAAAACACACTGTTTATTTACTGTAGCAATAGACGACACGTGATCCAGTGTTTTTTTTTTTTTTTTTTCCCCACTTTTCTCTTATTTGTGGTCAGGCCAGGCCAATCGGGTCTACTTCTGCAAACCCAAGCTTGCATCTGCAGGCTTGTGACTTGGGCCTGCAGACCCATAAGCACAGCCCTGACAAGTCTGTGATTATAGCACCATGATGATAATGCAAAATCACTAATCATGGACTCAATTATTATTACAATAAAAAAAAAAAAAAAAAGAGAAAGAAAGAAAGAAAGAAAACTGCCCACCATAATTCTTAACTTTAAAATTGGAGACCGTTGTGTTTATCCATTCAAAAATAAATGGATTGATAGTGATGGTGGTATTATCATTATTATTGTCATGATATTATCCATTCAAAAGAACACACACACATATATATATATAAGGAGTGGTTCCCGTTGATTGGCCTCTGCAATCACGAGCGGGAGCCTCGCGACCTGGCCTCCTGAATGTTGAACACGCTGCTTTATTTGTTTTTTTTTTTTTCAATTTCTTTTAGATATTTTAAAATTAGTTTCTTTTGAATAAAATAATTTTTTAAAATGATGACCTAATTATTCAAATATAATTTTTAATTTCATACTGTTTATTATATATATATATATATATATATATATATATATGTGCAGCATTAAAAAAGAAAAAAATTAATTTTTTATTTGATAATTTTTTCACAAGTTTTTATATGAAGTGTAGCTTTATTTTGTTCTACACAACCTTATAGAAACAATATTTATGTTCTTCTGAAAATTATGTATTCAATTTTGTATGTAGAATGTCGTAACTTTTTATTTAGGAACCAATGCATATAAAATAATTAAGTATTTCTTTTTCAATTAAAAATTTATGAAAAACATAAAAAATAATTAATTCAATACAAAATTTTGATTAAAAAAATTATTAGA